TACATCTTTGAGTAAATAAACACAGGTATGACGAGATAATTTTCTTTCCTAATATGAGAAACCACATTTCTAATTCACTTAGGCATCAGCCCGTGTAACAGTAACCCTTGTCGTAACAGAGGTACTTGTCAGGGTGGTGTTGGCTGGTACAGATGTTCGTGTCCTTATGCATACACTGGACAACAATGTCAGACTTGTAAGTAACAGTCATACAATATATAGACCAATGTTGTATTTGACGCTACAGTTGATGCGCAACTGAAATCATTAGACTAGTTTAACTGAAAAAATGCTATTCTAATATGAGATAATCTGATTCATTTTGAATCTAGACATGTACCCGTGTAACAGTGGTCCTTGCCGTAACGGGAGTACTTGCCATAATTATTATTGGCATAATAGAGGATATTACTGTTCGTGTCCTAGAGGATACACTGGACAACAATGTCAGACTAGTAAGTAACACTCAAGCAACAGAGCATTTTATTTRACGCTACAGTTGATTCCCAATTGAAATAATTAGACCGGTTTAACGGGAATGCTTCTATTCTAACTGATAACCTATTCATCTTGAATCTAGACATGTACCCGTGTAACAGTGGCCCTTGTCGTAATTTTTTTTTTTGATTCTGATTTCTTTTGGTTACCTTTTTTTTCTTTTTGGTTCTGCAAATTATTGCCTGTGCACCTCCCTGCAAGATCCCTAGTTACGCCATTCAGTTGGTAATAAAATAAAAATTAAAAAAAAAAAAAAAAACGATCAATGGTCCGATTTTCTTCGATGTGCACCCTCCCTGTAAAAGTTCTGGTTGCGGCCCTGTCCWCATAGGCATGTACCCGTGTAACAGTAACCCTTGTCGTAACGGAGGCACTTGTTACAATAAAGGGTTTAATAGAGGATATCATTGTTCGTGTCATTATGGATACACTGGGCAATAGTGTCAGACTAGCAAGTAACAATAACATTGTATATGACGCCACAGTTGATGCCCAACTAACACCATTAGACCGGTTTAACTGGAAAAATGCTATTCTAATATGAGAGATACTATTCATTTTGAATCTAGATTTGCATCAGTGTAACAATAACCCTTGTCGTAACGGAGGTACTTGCCGGGGTGGTCGTGACTGGTATTACTGCTCTTGTCCAAGTGGATACAGTGGCAGACAATGTGAATCAAGTAAGTTGAGCACAGATTTGGTGCTTTTTATATAATTTCAGACCACGTGCCATGCATTCCCTTGAGAATATTTTTTTWATTTAGCGGATGAGCATGAGAAGACACATGAATAGGGATACAACTCAAATAAAGAATCTTATTCTCAAGACCACGTGTCATTCCCTAGAGTATTATTTCTTTGTTTAATGGTTGCACATGAGAAGTCAAATGAATATGGATACAACTCAAATAAAGAATCTTATTCTCAATGGAATGACTCGTGGTCTGAAATGGGAAAACATTACGCCCAAGTCGAAGAGGTCTATACGTCCACCATCACTACCATTATGACCACCACTACCACGACTACCACCATCACCACCATGACTACCACCACCATCACCACAACTACACTACAAACAACAAAAACCTTATATCAACCACAACCGTTAATGAGGCCACATTTTCCATTCCAGACCTTAAAACAAATGTAACTTGCGGCGAGAATTACATGCAAATTGACTTGGAGGACTCGTACTTCTCTGACATTGATTGGCGTAATCTGCACCTGAACGACCCATCATGTAGAGCGACAAAGACACCTGGCACAAGGAGACTTCGTGCACCTCTGGACCGATGTGGTACGACGTACACAGAAAACCAGAAAACAATCACATTCTGGAACGAGGTAAATCATTTGAATCGTATCTTCAGCAGAAAAAAAAACCCCTAGCGAATAAGAAGGGAACTTGAATATTATAGAAACTGTGTGAAACACGTACGTTTGTAACCATACCGTTGTTTCGAACGTGTATTGTTTTTACTCCAACTCTACGATTCCGGCGTACCGTGAGCGGTTTAACTTTTTGTATTTATGGAAAATAAACTTGTTATCACCACAGTATAAATTATTGTCATTGACCAGCCAAATACATTGCGTATTTTTAACAAATTGACATCAGTTTTTTGTGTCTGTCCTCTTATTGATGAGAAATAGGCAATCATCACGCGATAAATTTTTACAGCCAATAAGCGCGCGAGAAATTTGTATAGCCAATCAGTGCACGAGAAATTTGTATAGCCAATCAGCACGCGAGAAATTTGTATAGCCAATCAGCACGCCAGAAATTCGTATAGTCAATCAGCGCGCGAGAAATTCGTAAGTTATCGTAAATTGTATGTATGAATCGCAGGTGAAGACTGACAACCGCTACCAATCAGTAGTGAATGGTGTGACTATCACACGTGACATAAATCTTCTCCTACGGTTCTTCTGTTCGTATGAACGAAGCCGTTTTGTCAGTGCGTCCTTTTCACCAT